TTACCAGATCATAGAATCATTTGTTTTAGAAATGACCTTTAAGTTCTCCACTAAACTAAGTACCACAACTATACATCTTTTAAATACCTCCAGGGATGGTGACTCAACCACTTCCCTGGACAGTCTCTTTCAACCCATGACAATGCTCCAGTGAAGAATTGTTTCCTAATACCCAGTCTAATCTTCCATTGGCACAACTTGAGGCCATTTCCTTTTGTTCTGTCACTTGTATTTGGGAGAAGAGGTCGACCCCCACCTTGCTACAACCTGCCCCTAGGGAGTGGTAGGGAGTGATAAGGTCTTTCCCGAGCCTCTGGGCTGAACATCCCCAGCACCCTCAGCCCCCTTGTGCTCCAGACCCTTTCCCAGCTGTTGTCCTTCTCTGGGCTTGCCTCAGCCCCTCACTGCCTTGCAGGGCGAGCCCCAGAGCTGGTCACAGCACTCGAGGTGTGGCCTCACCAGTGCCAAGTTCGTGAGGATGCTCCCTTCCCTGGTCCTGCTGGCCACACTATTGCTGTTACAAGCCTGCATACTATTGGCCTCCTGGGCCACTTTGGCACATGCTAGCTCACAGTGAGCTGGCTGCTGATCAGCAACTTAAGGTCCTTTTCCAGTGAACAACTTCCAGCTGCTCTTCTCCAGGGCTGTAGCACTGCATGGGGTTGTTGTGACCCAAGTGCAGGACAAGGCGTTTGGCCTTGTTGAACCTGATGCAATTGACCTCAGCCCATGGATCCAGCCTGTTCAGATCCCTCTGCAGAGCCTTCCTACCCTCTAGCAGACCCACTTTTCTGCTCAGCTCGGTGTCAGTGGTGAGCTTACTGAGGACTCACTCAATTCCCTTGACCAGATAATAGATCAAGATATTAAACAGCACTGGCTCCAAAGCTGAGACCTGGGGAACACCATTAGTGATGAGACAGCAGGTGGATTTGACTCCTTTTACTACACTCCTTGGGCTCAGCCATCCAGCCTGTCTTTTACCCAGCTAGTTCAAGCTATGAGAAGCCAATTTCTTCAGCAGAGTGGTGTGGCAAATGGTGTAAAAAGCTTGAATAAAGTCTAGATAGACAGCCTCCACGGCCTTTCCCTCATCCACCAAGCAAGTCACTTTTTCATAGAAGATCAGGTTGGTCGAGCAGCACTGCCTTTCATAAACTCAAATGGGCTGAACCTGATCCTGTGGTGTCCTACATGTGCTCTGTGCTGGCACTCAGGAGTGCTGGCACTCAAGATGTTCTGCCCCATGACCTCCAAGGTCAGGCTTGACAGGCTTGTAGCTGCATACATCCTCTTGCTGATCCTTCTTGTAGATGTGTTTCTTAATTTCCAGTGAGGTGGTACTTCTCCAGTTAACCAGGTCTGCTGAGAAATGAAAGTAGCTTAGAAGTAGAAACACTTCTGCCAGTTCCCTGAGTTTGTTTGGGTGGATTCCATGCAGCCCTCTTGATTTGTATCTAAATGGTGTAGTATTTTACTGACATTTCCCCTTGGATTGTGGGGGCTCCATTCTGTTCCCTGTCTTCCAGCTCAGGGCTCTGGGTACACAGACTTAGTTAAAGACCTCAGTTACAGACCAAAGTAAAGCAGTTATTCAGTAGCCCAGACTTCTCATTCTTTGTCACTATGTTTTCCCCCAATGCAATAAAGGATGGAGATTCTCCTTAGCTCTCCTTCTGTTGTTAATATATTTCTAGGAACATTTTTTATTATCTTTTTATGCCAGTAACCAGACTGTTCTAGCTGGGCTTCTGCCCTTCTAATTTTTTCCCTTATAACCTCACAACATCCTTGAAGCCCTCCTTGAGGCCCTTCTTCCAAAGATGATACACTCTTACTCTTGAATTCCAGCCAAAGTTCTCTATTCAGCCAGGCCGATGGTCTTCCCTGCCAGCTTGTCTTTTGACACATGGGGATGACCTGCTTCAGTGCCTTCAAAATTCCCTTCTTGAAGCATGTCCAGCCTTCCTGGATTCGTTTGCCCTTCAGGACTGCATCCCAAGAGTCCTTCTCAACCAGCATCATAAAGAGGCCAAAGCCTGTCCTCTGGGAGTCCAACATAGCAGTTCTGCTAGCCTCCCTTATTATTTCTCTGGGAATCAAAATCTATCATTTTGTGATTGCTGTGCCCAAGACAACCTCCACTTGTCACATCACCCACCAGTCCTTCTCTGTTCAGAAACACAGCTCTGGTGGGGTGCCCTCCCTAGCTGGCTCATTTACCAGATGTGCACATCAGTTGCTGGAGTATTGATCCTGGCCCTTTTTTAGGGGGAGACACCCATTGCATTTAGAGTTCCATCATTGTTGTAATTTTTATCCAGTACATCTTTCTAATAATCTTTTTAGTAAATTTTTAGTGTGCTATTTCATTGATTTTATCATAGTTGCTCCTGTCTTGTGGTATAAATGTATGAAACTGTGTTTGCATGGAAAGGGAATAAAAATGTTTCTAATAGTCTGTTGCCTTCTTCAAAAGGGAAACCTTTGCTGCCCTAATGGGGTAAAATCCCATAGGGCATGCCACATGATTTTAATATAAACCAAGGAGTTTTATTAGTATTATTTCTGATTCTGGAGACCCCAGTACACTACTAAGAAGTATAGCACTTCTGGTTTTGGGAAACTTGATGTAAAGATGAGTTTCAAATTGGATCCCTTTCTGCAGCAGGCTGAATTGTGCAGTGATGAACATTAGTGGCCATATTTTTCTGTCAGCTCAAATGTTTGCTACTGATGAAAAGAAAAATAAAAAATCCATACTGAAAATTTATTTTAAATGTTTAAAATCTTTTATAATCCATCTGTGAAAAAATGAGTAACTTCATCAGTGCCATGCCCTTCTGTCAAAATCATCATTTGAAATAAAAAAGGATGTGTTTGTCTTTGAAATGAATAACTTAAATATTGAAAGAGAAGGATGATCTCTGAAATGAAGGAAGTTTAAAGGATAAGATTAGTAGAAGCAGCAGTTTTGGTATTAGGTGAACAAAAGTCACAAATTAGAATCGTCATCCGTTGTGCTATGTGTTTTGCAAAAAAAATAAAGATGTATTATGCATTAGGTAATTTGTCAGATCTTGTAAGTTTTTGTAAAGGACAGTGACACAAAAGTACAGCTGTTAGCTGCAGCCTTAGCTGACCTCAACTAAAAATTGCTCTCTATCCTGGTTATAAGCCTCTGCAAATTTTTCCAGCTTCTGCAGGATCCTAGCCTGGAATTAAGGGTTGGTGCAGGGCTGTTGACTCTGTTCCTCTGTAATTCCTGTTTGTAGGGTGCATTGTGACTCAGTGTGTGGCCTGTCTTATTTTGACAAAATCCTTTCTTCTCATTAGTGCTGTACAGAAAATGGTCCAGTTGGGTTCTCAGATTACATCCACTGTTACTGTAGCTAAAACTGTGTTTGTTAAGTAAGAGATACTGTCTGCTGTCCTGTATGTTAACATTTGGCTTCTCTTCCCTTCTGCTCTTGTAAATCAATTTTATTTGAACTATAACAGAAGTGTCTAATAACTTAAATGTCTTCTCAAATAGCCTTTGAAGAACAATTTTAATAAAATTTCCTATAGCACTGAAGCTTCTTAAAATACAAAGCTATTGTACATCAAGGAGAATTTTGCTGTATACATTCATGCATCTAGAGACAGGAGAGAGCATGCTGTAATTAACTTGTTTGACCTGAAATGTATACAAGGAATGGAAAATTTGGCTGCATGTGTAATGACCTGGTAGTCCAGGTAGTTTCCTTTATGCCTTAAGTTAGGTAACTGACATTCATAACGCATAGAATCTTGCTTGTTGAGCAGTCTAGCATTATATTTGCAGAACTACTGCTATACTAACTGGTATTACATTCACCTTCAGTGATTTATTTGATCTAGAAAGCCAACAAATTTCTGCTTTTCTAAAAGGATGTTTCCCAGGGCTCCAAATGATCAAATGATCGATGTTCTAGTTTCCCTCTATTACAGCTGTGATGAACACATGATCATTTGCAATATATGTGTGTATATATATGTATATATGGTGGGACATTATGTATATATAGTATATACATCAACATATATTGAGACATGATTTTCACTTTGGTCTGTGACTACAACATTGGACTGTGGCTTCAACAACCTGTGTTGGAAACTTAGCAAATAAATCACTGATGATACCTATGGAAGCTACCACCTTCCTTAGATAAAAATATATTTGTAAAGTACCAGTTTGTATAGAGTAAGCTTTGGATCTGTCCCACTGTCAAAGAGAGCATAAAATAATAAGCTAAAATTTGCAATGGCTGCCTGATACACACAAGGGTATTTTAATTAACCTGCATGCAGAAATTAACCCTTAGAGTACTGCTTCAAATTCTTCAATTTATTTTGTTATTTAATTTTACCAGTGGGCTATGCTGCTTTTCTACTCAGTTCATAGTACTGTACATAAAGTACATTAAATAGCCATACAAAAAAAAAAGAAGTGAGAAAAAGAAAAAAAAAAAATCCAATCAACTTCTTATAAACAAGGGATTGTACAAGACTAAATACTCCAGGTTGCTAATGGGTAATGTATTCCTAAGCAACTATTTTTTGTTAAAGGTTTTATATTATAACATGAATTAAAAGCGTGTAATGTTTCACTGTACCTGTGTGCTTGTTGGGTTTCTTCCTAAAGTATCATAGGTGTGTCTCCTTTAGAAAGAAGTCAGTTCTTTAAGGGTTAATGTGGGGTTAAGCAATCCTGAGGTATTCTCCTGCTTGTCCTCTCCTAAAGGTATCTGCATGTTAACTCTCAAATATTACCTGAACAGGTGAATATAAACACTGTATGAATGACTAACTGAATGAATGAAATAATTCCTTTGAAATGCTTGCTTGTATCTTGTAAACGACTGGAAAACAGAAACATGATTTCTGAATCAAGGTCTATAATGAGATGCATACAATTCTCAGCAGAGTAGAAACTCATATACTGACAATTTATTCTGATTTCTTTGTCTTTCAAATAGCCCAATAGAATCCTGCCAGAATTTCTACAAAGATTTCACATTACAGATCGACATGGCTTTCAATGTGTTCTTCCTACTCTACTTTGGCTTGCGTGTAAGTAGTGTGTCTTTGGTAGCAGAGGGGAGTATAGCTGTTGTGTGTGGTGATTGAAACAGAGCTCGTATTTTCTTTGAAACAAACACAGTTAATATCTTCTTTCATGCAAAAATATGTTTTGTTTTGAATGCATTGTTTTGAAATGTGTAAGTTTTAAGATTTAGATAAAACTACTCAAGTATTTTCATGATACACTGGGGGTTTTTTTCCCCTTTATTTTTATATTTATATTTAATGTTTATACAATGCAAATCTTTTCATTACTTTTTAATTATTAATCAATTGCGAATAGTAGTTTGACCTTATTCAAGCACATAGGCAAGATGCCCTGGGTATCTCAGCTTGCCAGTTTCCCTGGGCTGATTTTGTATTCAGGAGAGAGAAATGACCACATCCATGGTTCACTTCAAAAGATTGAAGTGCTGCTGCAGTCCCGAGCTGTGCCTTGTAGGAGTCATCCTGCTGATCTCCTCTGGACAGATAGTAAAGGGACTCATTCTAAACCACTCTGTATGTCAAAATCTGTGGGCATCAGATACATGATCAGACTACTACCAGCATATTTGCTGTGCTAGAGCAAAGGAGATGTATTTCAAAATACTTTATAATTGCCTACACTTTCCTAATATTACTGATACGTGATCAATAAATATGGAAAAAATATTTTAGCACAGATATTACCACTGATCATGTAGATGATCTATCTCTTTAATTAGACCTTTCATTTTAATCTCAGTATGATTATCAAGAAATGCACAATACAGACTTTTTTCTAGTGAGACATGTTTTGTCTGGACTGACCTAAAACATAGTTACTACACTAACTTTTGAGTTTAATATTTTAGAACAGATACCTGCAATCAGAATGTCAATAATCTGATTCTTTCATCTCTTCTGCTCTTTCTTTTTTTTTTTTTTTCTTTCCAGTTTATAGCAGCCAATGACAAGCTATGGTTTTGGCTAGAAGTTAACTCAGTGGTAGATTTCTTCACGGTCCCTCCAGTATTTGTGTCAGTATATTTAAACAGAAGTTGGCTTGGTAAGTACAGTAGTTTCACCTTTAAAATGCTTGTTACAAAAGTACTTCAGTGTTGCAATTTTGGTGGAGAATTTCTTCATCTTGTGTCATGGTGCAAATAGAAGAATGTTACCAAAGTTGTTTACAAAGTGAATTTTAAGCAGAAATGTGCATTTTGTCAGAAAAAGCACTTACTATATCTGTTTTGTTTTCAACTCATTAATATAATCTCCTACTCTCAGAGGTGGAGAACTCCATTTTGGAGGTGCTGTGTAGCATGAGGCTGCCCTTATCAAACCGTGAATTTGATTTGTCTCAGCTTGAAACCTGAACAGGTGATCTAGATTGTTCATTCACTGAACTGAATTGCCATGAATCATTGTCAACAATGAAATCAATATATTCTCACTGCATTTTTTGAGCCAGTGTGGCTAAATTTTAAATCCACTGAAGCAACTGAATTGGGAGATACATTTAGACACTTAACATTTTGTTGGGCTGCTAGGAATGCATTAGGAAAGGTATGGCACATTTAAAAGGGAATATGAAAAGAAATAGGGAGGACACACAATTAAAAAATGTCCATAATGTGTCAAATGGAGCTTTTTGTACAAGTGTTACATGCTCTGTCATTAGGAAAAATGAAAGTCAATTTTTGTTATTTTTTTTATTCAGAGAAAACTTCCTAAAAATGGCATACTTTGTGAATGATGTGTCTTTACACAACATATAAAACCTCACAGTTTGGCAATTTTAATTCCTTCAGAAATAGAGGCACTCATTGTCACTGAAAAGTGAAGAGAATAGTTATCTTAAATGTTTCATATAGAAAAGAAAATAAACTAGAAGGTCTTCAATAGTCTTACAATATTTTTATCTTAATATAGAAATGCAAATATAAAAAAAAAATGATGAATTTCTGTTTTATGCAAAGAGATCAATAAACTTATAACTACAGTAAACCATATAACCATATCAATGGCTATTAGCATGCCAGAGATGAAAGCAGTAAAATGGCCAGAAAAGATGACTACACATCCTCATATGATTACTCTCTTTATCACATATCACTTCTGTCATATATGGAAAACTAAGTAAGGCTTTTTGATAGGGAAAATGTCATACAGTTCCATATTATGATACGAAATAAAATGTAAAAAGAATGTATGTAAGTAAAAAACATGCTTATCCTTGTAAGAAAATTGCTGATTTCGTTAGCTATAACTTAATCTCAGATTCCTTGCATTATGTGAATTAAAGGGATGCATTTTCACTCTTGTATGTGATATATCCGAATTTCCCAAAAACTTTGAGATTGAAATGCTTGGAGATGAAGGCTATCTGAGAGGATAAATAGAATCACAGAATCCATTGAAAGGGAATGTGAGATGAGAAAGTAGCAAGACCACGGACTCTGGGAAATGAGGCAGAGATAATTACTTGGAATGAATACTCTTCATGAAAGCGACTGCGTAATTGACTGACTCATGGTGACACAGCAATCCAACTAACAGTACTGACAGGGATAATGAGAACATTTGCACATTTAGCAGTTTCTGCTGCATAGATTTTAGAAGTTCTATGGCAGTTTTCAGGAAGAGTTAAGCATTCATAGGGTTGAAAAGATTTACATATCTCTTAATTACACCAACATCGCTTTATCTTGATTTCTTGTTTGTAGCCAAACTTTGCCTGTTTCCTCATGGAATCATCCTGAGACATTTATCACCTGCTGAGGCAAAAAATGGACATGTTTTTTAATGTAGTCATCTTAGGAGTAACATATTTACAATGTTTTAGCTTTGTACCTGCTTCCAGAGGAATTTTTATTTTTGATAAATCATCCTCAGTGAAATCAATCACTAATTCAAAAATGTGAATTGTTTGGATTCCTAACAAAGCTTTAATTTAGACCAGCAAGGTATTTTGAGCAGCTGTGATGGAAGATCTTTAAAGTAAATATATTGAAGTGTATTAATAGAGACTGTGTTCCTTTATACTTTTGAAAGAGATGGCCAAATTTACTGTCTGTAGAGCTCAAATATTTTACTCATACTTGTAGGTAATACAGTGGTAGGACTGAGTGTGTGAGAAGGGGGAAAGGTAGGGTGTTTGGACCATATTATTTACTTTCAGGTTAGATGCCTACTTTGCCTTTTTCTTTTGTATAAATATTGTATAAATACAATATGAATATTGTAATTGAGAGAGATATCCTTCTACTGAGGGGGATTCAGAATATATAAGTTGTGGGTTTTGCAAAAGTTGTCCCCATGTGTAAGTAGGATTTGCAGGGAGGTTTGTCTTTTAGGGAGGTGAGTAAATAGAGAGTGCTTAGGGTTAGGCAATGTGAAAATCATTCAACATTGGCACATTTTAAGAATTTCTTAATGATTTAGCAGGTTTCTTTTGTAGGCTTTAGATTTCAAGATCATTTAGGAGCCAAAATAAAATGCACCATCTGGAATGTATTGTGCATCAAGGTCTTTCCAGTTTATTTCACTGTTGATTCATGTCAGTCAGCTGTGATGAGTTCATTGAAGTAGTTAGCAGAATCGAAGTCCCCATGTGGCTCTCTGAATGTCCCGTTCTACAAGAGATGTCCTGGTTTAGCTGACTGACTAGTATCAGTATAGACCCACAGTTCCAGCTGTATTTTAAAGAAACCAAACTATCCTAAATAAATAATAAACTTTGCCTTTGGAGCAGTAAGTGCTTACAGAAAGATGGGAAGCATAGCAGAGCACGTGCTCTGAATGTTCATGTTCCACTGTAGTGGAAAGCCAGTAGATTTTTTCTGTTCTTATGCTCGTTCAGAAATACCATCTTTCACCTATTGTGTAGCTCTTAGTATGTGAAGCTTTCTCCTTTCCCTGCTACCCTTTTGTATTCAGCTGTTCATAACATATGTTCTTGCATCTTGAAATGCTGTATATGAATTAAGTTTTCAATCAGTATTCATAAAGGATGTTATTTCAAATCTAGTCTTCCACCTAGATTCCAGTTTGCAGACAACATTTGATATTGAAAGACAGATCAGGTTATGCTTTTTTGAAAGGTTTTCATGTCATTATGATCAATGTCTAAAGTAAAGCTGAAGGCAAAACAGCACTTAAAACCTGCAAAATACCAAATTTTTAGATTTGGTAAATCCTTCAGAAAAGGTTTCTGTGGTGTCATTTTTGCTTGCAGAGGAGAACATAAGAAAAGGAAGCACATGAAAAGAATGCATTTGACCTATGCAAAGAGCTACATATTATTGAAAGATTGGGGGAAGTACAGATGGGAAATAAATTTTTAATAAATCTGTAATAATTCAGTGATACACAGTGCTTTATCATGCTGTATAAAAATTTCGTATGCTCTGACTTGGAAACTATACACTGATGTACTATGAACATCAGTGTGGTTTTGGATGCTCATTTTCATCTAGATCTCCATGACATTTTTCCAACACTGTTTTGCAAACAGTAGAATTTGTGTAGATACTTACTCATGAGCTACATCTCTACTTTATAAAATCCTATGTATTGCTTGCACAGCTCTGTACAAGAAACCTTCTAAGAATGGTAGGACAGCTCTCCAGGTGCAGAATTATACAGGGGGGATAGAACCTTCCCAAGGGAAGAATGATCTACAGGTGATTTTGACAGTGAATTTCAACCAAATTATTTCAGTGCATTGCTGAGTTTGTATGTTTTGTTTACAGTCCAAGTGAAGGTAGGCTAAAAGGATTGTTGAACAGAAAGGATTTGCAATGGGAGAAATAATGGCATGGTACATTTTTCTTTTTTTTTACTACAAAATTATCATAATCTGAGTGTCCTACATAAGTTTCAGATTTAGAACTTTTTTCCTCTGGATAGCTTGCAGTCTGAAAACTGGAGAGTCCTGCAACAAGTGAATATCTTCCAGTTGTATTTAGTAAAGACTTAACACTTTACACACCACTTAAAACTGTTATTCCATCTTCTGCGACAGCAAAACCATTTAAAATAACTGAAATGCCTTTTATCGTGTACTTGAATGCTTATGAAAAAGGAAATAATGAATTTATGAGCCGACTGTATTGGACTGAGTTGCCTTGACAGGATTGTATTGTTAGACGGGAATTTAACGTAAGAAATATGATCTTGGCTCCACATTTGCAAGAATATGTGAATGAGGAACAATCAGCCTTAGATTGTGATAATAATACAAAGATTAATGCAATGTAATATATTAATTTGATAGTATCTCATTATTGAATCACAGAAATTAAAGATAAAGATCTTTTAAACAATCAATCCCTTTTCCTGACCATATGCTTTATCTGTTCTACTGTGCAGAATATCAAGTGGTAGAAACTCTGTGATTCCTTGTAAATGCTGTTATCAGGAAGATTTTTTTCTTCATCCTTATTCCCTGACATCCCTTTTAGTCTAGGCTGCTGCTGACGCTGACTTTTTTTTCAGAAAATAATTTGAGATAGATAGTGGAGGAAAGAAGACAGACAACAGATGCAAATACAGACACATGCAAAGCATGGAGAACAAATCTCTTCAGATGGTGATTAACACAGTTAGGGAAGGGGATCCTTTTTTCCAGTGGTTGCTCAAATTCTGTCCAGCTCCTGCTACAGACATGTCGATTAATTTTGGATGAGACTTGTGGTTTCAGTATCAGTGCCTGGTCTGAGAATAGTGTTTCCAACAACTCTGGTGGAAATTCAGCTTTCTTGGTGAATCAGAATGAAATTGGTTTCCCACCAGGGAGAGAGATAGATGACTCTGGAAAAAAACAGATGTGTCTAACTAAGATAGTTAGGGTGATGGTGTGAAGCCTTCTGCCCATCCAGTAATTGTTCTTCAAGATGAAGCTTTAGTTAAAAATCTGTACATGAAAACAACATCTGTTAGTTCTCTGATAACTTGGTTGTAGGAATGCCACTTTGGCTTTGCAATCATTTACTGGATTTTGCTACATCTACAGGTCACAAAGCTCCTTTGCTTAGCACCTCAAATTTGCAGTCATCTGCAATG